AAAATGATCAAACACATGATCTTTAGAATAAGGTGAAATCTGTAAGATAAACACTTGTCATTAGAAACCACCTAAATGGGAAGAGCGTACACTGTGTGTGTGCATGATGTATAACAGCCCTTATCCTCTTTAACACAAAAGCAAGAAGGCAGCATTGGTTGGGGCTTTGCTGTTGTTGGTTGGTTGGTTGGTTTGGTTGATTGATAAGGATGCCATGACACGAAGTGATTAAAAGGCATCTTCCTGTCATTAAAAATTCACAAAATGAAACAGTCAGAACTTAAACCAATGTCTCTTGACTCCTGGTGAAACACAGTGTTTTTACGTATTTGTTTATTTTGCACTGTGTAAATTCACTCTCAAGTCAAAAGATTATTTCCACCCTCTGCAAATTTCTTACACAGAACAGAAAAGAAATCCGGGGATTTTACCTGCATTAGCAGAGCAACGTCCTGAAGGAAGGGAATGTGATATAAAGAAAAGAGCTCTGCCTTTGAGTAGCAGCAGCCTTCAAGGTCAGCTCTAGTAGGTGCCCCATGAGCACTGTTACCTTAGGCCACCTCCCTGGCTCTTCATTTCCTAAACCAGTGGTTCCCAAACTTATTTGGCCTACCGCCCCCTTTCCAGAAAAAATATTACTCAGCGCCCCCTGGAAATTAATTTTTTTTTAATTATAATAGCAATTAAACAGAGAGATATATGTATTAATGTTTCTACCTTTTTCGTAAAATATAGTAAAGAAAGGTGTAAATTAGAAACATCGAAGTTTGAAATTATGAAACTATTTATTGAACTCAGAATAGAAAGGTAATACAAAAAAAGTTAAAACAAATGCACCTGTGGCCATCACCGCCCCCCTGGATCGCTGCAGCGCCCACCAGGGGGCGGTAGCGCCCACTTTGGGAATCACTGTCCTAAACTATAAAATGGGCGTGGGATTTTCCAACTGCAAACCTCCACGGTGTTTTCTGCAACATTAGTGATAATGTGTGTGGAATCTAGCCCTGCACCTGGCACACAGTCAACTGTTTGCTCACTTTTAAATAAAAAGCTAGGTTCAAATGTGTGTGTGTGTGTGTGTGTGTGTAGAGACAGAAGAAGATGCATTGCTAACATTTTTGGAGAAGAAAGTGCATCGCTATCATTTTTAGGTGGTCTGTGCAGCAAATAATTTTGATATGGCAATATTTTTAAAATTCGCCATACTATCTGGGGTGCTGTTTTCACTATCTTTCCAACTTGAAATCACAAGTTCCAAATATTTATTTCTACTCTGAAGACAGCTTTTATACTTTGACTTTCTAACATGCTGCCAATGAAACGCCAAAAGAGAAATGTGTGACAAGTCAAAGTTTGCTTGCCTTTGGAATTCTTGCAAAGGAGAACTTCTTAGAGTTTAACACTGAAAATGCTTAATATGGTAATAAGCAAAAATGGGAATATTGAGTTTTAAGCATACATTACAGTGATTTTCATCCTTAAAAACAATATATTAAATAATAATAATGATATATTAAGGAGGTCTGGGGTGAGATACTCCTTATCTAAAAAGCACCGAAACCTATGACTGAGTGGTTCTTTAACCGTGAGCAAAACCTGTGACCCCTCAGATCTTAAACTTCTTCCTAAACTGTACGCTAGTGGAGTCCAAGGGGAGTATATTTAGTAAGACGAGCATGCATCTTGGGAACTGAGGAACTCGTTAAAATCACAGTTGTGCTAAGTATTAGCTATGGGACTTTACGTAATTCACTTAACCACTGTGATCTTTTTTTCTTATAAAAAAAAATGGAGTTTGACTATCCTAGCCTTGCTTTAGTTTTCCCATAACACTCATTTCTTAACATTGCCTGACTATTCCATGGTCTGGGTGTGAGAGTCAAATGGCATAGAATATGTAAAATGCAAAGTGCTTTTTTAGCAAAGGGAGTTTATTATCACTGTACCTAACTGCCACATCATAATTACATTATCACTATTATAATTATCCACACTTTAGTTCCTTAAAAGAAAGTAAATGCTTGCTTTTGATTATTTGCTTTTATCACCACCTGAAATGAAGATGATGCTCCCATGTTCCTGAGCAAATAAGGAAATCCCACACAGTACTGCTAACAGAAAGACCATGTTCTAAAGTCAGAATCACGTGGCTTGAAGTCCAACTCACTGCTCTTGAAACACATTGCATGGAACTCAGGTTCTGATGTTCTAATAATTCATTTTTACAAATATGAGGCTTCCCTAAAGAGGAGGAGCCACATGGAAGGGTCCAGAACAACAAGATAAAACTCTTACTAATATCATATACATTTACAGTACTCTAGGGTTTTCAGTCTATCTCTCCTCTGTTACATACATATCTTGTTGCACCATTCAGAGGGGTACCTGACACAGAAAGAGCTACATTGTAATTGGGCGACCCGCGGAGACGACCACCAGGGATTCAGATCAAAATTTAGGAGCCTTTATTAAGCTGGCCAGCGACTGCAGTTCAGCCTCTGCTTTGGCAGGGTGCTGTAACTGTAGTCGCTGGCCAGCTTAATAAAGGCTCCTAAATTTTGATCTGAGTCCCTGGTGGTCATCTCCGCGGTCGCTCCATTACAGCATGAAAAACCAACAAGTCTGCTGACATATATGTCATCATAAGAGGTGGCACCTTGCCCTAACTGTTTTGGCTCAGTAGATAGAATGTCGGCCTGAGGACTGAAGGGTCCCAAGTTTGATTCCGGTCAAGGGCATGTACCTTGGTTGTGGGTACATCCCCAGTAGGAAGTGTGCAGGAGGCAGCTGATTGATGTTTCTCTCTCATCAATATTTCTAACTCTCTATCCCTCTCCCTTCCTCTCTGTAAAAAAATCAATAAAATATATTTTAAAAAAGAGATGGCACCTTGATGCGTGAGAGGTTGGTTGATCCCCCATCCTGTGCAGTAATCCCCCCACCCCCATAGCCCAGAGACAGTTTCCTCTTTTATTTTTGTCAACACTTTCTTTTTGTTCCTCTCCTCCAACTAGGAAGTACATCACTGACACAAACACAATATACCTTTTCATAAGGAAGCAAATGAATATGTGTCAGATGGGCTGAGGGGATTACAACATGTTTCCTGCTCCCATGGTGACCCAATGAAGCTGGTATGAAAACTAATCTTATTTGAGAAGTCAGCTTCCCCAGCAGAATTATGAGTCACAGTTTCTGGGTAGAAAGCTCACTTTCCAAAGGAATTTGGGGTGGGGGAGCTCTTTGGAAGAATTACAGTAAAGGTCATTCAGATAAGCAACACTGCCAAGACCACTGGGGAAGCACCAGCACCCACCAACTTCTGGGACTTCACTGTTCTCCCAGCAGAAATAATACAGTTACCTCTCTCTTTCCCTTCAAGGTGAGGCAGCATATCAAACCACATTGATGGATCACTGGTATGAATCCAAATAAGAAGTTCCATTATAAAATTGGCCAATTTGCCTAAAAAAATAGATGTGAAAGGAATGTATATAAGAGAGAGAGAGGGAGAGAGGAAGAAGGAAGAAGGAAGAAGGAAGAAGGAAGAAGGAAGAAGGCGGAGGAGGAGGAGGAGGAGGAGGAGAGGAAGGAAGGAAGGAAGGAAGGAAGGAAGGAAGGAAGGAAGGAAGGAAGGAAAGTAGGATGGAGATTGGGGGAAGAAAAAAGAGAAGTAGGAAAAGGAGAGGGAGTAGGAGAGAACAGAATGAGTTAATACATCAATGAGTTATGAGAAAACTAAAGTAGGATAGGATAGATAGTGATTGGCAGGACTATTTTAGTGAAGATGGTTAAGGAAGGCCTCTGTAAGCATAGAATTTAATCAAGTAAGAACAAACTATGATCAGGGTTTATATTCAGCATATTTAAAAATCAGGACATCGTGGCACTGACCATCAAATGGAGCACTCACTAAAGCCGGATATATGCCAGTCTAAAAAGCCAGTAGAGCTATATAGTCATGTATCCCACCTGAATATCAGCCCTGTATAATATACACTTTCATCTGTGAAGACCCCAGGGGCCAACGAGATTGAAAGTTATCTCTCCTTCTCTCAGCTTTGAGCTGTACTCTGTCCTAGTTATACCTCTCCTTTAGTTCTGTTTTTGTTTTCTAATAAAATGCTTTAAGTGTCATAGCAAAACTAAAAACGACCAGAAAATATCATCAGGATGGTAGGAGGACTCAAATCTATGTCATGTGAAGAACATCTGAAGGCATATATTAGAGAGCATGGTCATGATTATATGATCACTGTTGTAACATTTGTGGAGGCCTTTCACATAAAAGAGGAAATAAAACAATGGTATTCAAAGTATGGCCAAGATTTTTAGGGGAATTATACATTAAAAGCTTTTTTAAAATTAAGATATCTAGGTTCCTTGCATTAAAATTAGAAAACCATTGGATTATGTATTTTCTATTTAAATCAATAAATTGAACCAAAGAAATGTATGGAAATGACATATAGACAAATTTCAGTTATATGTACTAAAATCTAAAATTTTATCAGTCCAAAGATATAACCAGTTATAATAAGTTAATCACTAGTTAGAGATACTAGAAAATAGTTCTGAATAGTAATTCTGGAGAAGAGAGGAGACCTGAAAAGATAAACTTTCAAGTCCCTTGTAAGTCTGATTTCATTTGATCCAGGCCCATGATGTTGAGTTCGGTAATTCAAACTCAATAAAAGCTTTGGATGGCTCCTCTTATGAAGCAACACCCAAAGAAAGATTGAGCCTGACCAGTCTTTCTTTCCTATATAGAAGCAGCATGACAGAAACCTGTCATTATTTATTTGTTTTTATAACATCTCAATTGACTGTTACCACCAAGGCCTTCTCCACCACTGGCTCAAGTTTGGAAAACAGTGCTACTATCACTGTCATTTCTTAATAAACTATATTATTTTCTCTTAGTTCATTTTCATAAAGACTGAGATAATACACTATGCATGACTTGCATTTCAATTGATTGTCAAAAGCCATTCACTTACCCGAGGCATCACTTTGCAAGATCCCATAGAAGTAGAGACTCATTACACACCACAGAAGTCCCATCTTGTCCATCTAAATACAAAGGTAAGGGAGAGGACTCATTACTCTCAGTGCTTAAATAATATTTAGTGCATATGCCTACTGACTATTGATCAGGAACTATTCTGACAATTTTACAATACTAACACATTTAATTGTCAGAACCAACCAAGAAGATAGGTTTTTTTTAAAAAAAATATATATTTTATTGATTTTTTTACAGAGAGGAAGGGAGAGGGATAGAGAGTTAGAAACATTGATGAGAGACAAACATCAATCAGCCGCCTCCTGCACGCCCCCTACTGGGGATGTGCCCGCAACCAAGGTACATGCCCTTGACTGGAATCAAACCCAGAACCTTTCAGTCAGAAGGCAGATGCTCTATCCACCGAGCCAAACCAGTCAGGGCAATAAGATAGGTTTTTAAAAATCCTTGTTACAGATAAAGAAACTGGGACAAGTTTAAATCACATAACCAAGGTCCTTTGGGTAGAAAGTGGTAGAGTAATAATCAAACTCCAACAGCTTGACTCTAGAACCCTTCCTTCTTTTCTTCTTTTTAAATTAATTAATTAATTAATTAATTAATTAATTGGGGTGACATTGATCAACATGAACATGTAGATTTCTGTATATTGCACATGTGCCCAATACCCAAAGTCAAATTTTCTCCTGTCACATTATATTAGGACCCCTTTCTCCCATCACCTCCTTCCTTCTGGCAACCACTACATTGCTGTTTGTGTTCATAAGTTTCATTTTTATATACCACATATGAGTGAAATCAAATGGTTATTAGCTTTTTCTTACTGACTTATTTCACTTAGCATAATGTTCTCAAGGTCCATCCATGCTGTTGCAACATGGCTGAGTAGTATTCCATTGTGTATATGTACCACATCTTCTTTGTCAGTTCGCTATCTTAGGACACTTTGGTTGTTTCTATGACTTGGACACGGTGAATAATGCTGCAATGAACATAGGGGTACATATATCTTTGCAAATACATAATTTCAAGTTTTTCAGGTATATACCCAGGAGTGGGGTTGCTGAGTCATATGCTAGCTCTATTCTTAATTTTTTGAGGAAGACTGCTTTCCATAGCGGTTGTACCACCAGCAATGGACGATGTAGATCCATTTATTAATCTGATATATAAACTGAACTATAAATACCTATTTAAAAAAACACTCTGGATTTTTTTCATTAGAGTCACATTCCAGAAGATGTTCGATCTTCTTCCCTTCTTTACATTCCTTTGGTCTATTCCCAACTGGAAGTATTTTATAATCCAGGCAATTTGTCTTCTTCATTATAAATAGGAAATCTAGAAATTCTGAAATCTGACTTGGTCAGAATTCCACCACACTATGAATTTATAGTAAAGGGAAATATATAAACCACATGCCCTGTTGTGGCTGCTTTCCTCATCTCACTTGAAAAAATAAATGATGAGTCTTAAATCCAATTTCTGTGATCTTGAGCCTCTCTATTGATAACCAGCTGAAACAGTCAACCAGCAAGAACCATGCCCTTACTCTTGGTTGTGTGATCTTTAATGCAGAAGGCCTGAAGATTTAACAACTCTGTGAAATATTTATTTCCCTAATGCCCTAGACATATCTGGCCTCTGGTTATAAATACTGAAATATTTGCATTACTGAAAAATTTCATACTGTAGATCTCCCTTTTCACTTTTGAACACAACAGTCATATGTAAGGGTGCTTATCAGAGGTCTTGGATATGTGTCCAGATCATATTTCTAGTAAGTGACAGAGATGAGTTTTATACCCATATCTGGCTAACTGTAAGACTATTATTATCCCAAACATTAGCATATGTCATAAGCTTTACAACCACAGGGACTCACCAGTCTTAAAAGGTCAAAGAGTTACTTGATTAATAGGGTGACCATGTAACAGCATTTAAATGGGACAATTCTAAGAGTATTATACTGAAACAATAGGTGTAAACTGATACTGTCCAAGAAATCCACACAGCGTGTAGTCACTTTAAAGGGCAATGCAAGTTTCCAACCCCTATCACCTCTCTTGACCACACATCATCAGAAATCTCTGGTTCATACTGTGCTTCCTCCTTTAGTATGACCATACACAAATCAGGTGAGTTGATTATATCTTAATAACTGTTTTATTTCAAAGATTAAATGTCTCTTTCTTATCACCACCATTCCCTTCCTATTCATATACTATTACCTTAGGGAACTCTTCTCTCCATCATTCCTTTGTTCAATAAAACATATATTGAAGACTTTCTGCTTATACGTCTCTTCGATATAACTGTAGGGGCCTCTAGTAAGTTAGATGCATGGCCTCCTCTAAGGACACTTCTTTCCAGTAGAAGAAATAAACCACATGCAAATCACTTCAATGTCATCAGCTATGAGCAACACACATGCAGAAGCTCTATAGGATATATAAAGATTTAGCAGGCAGACATTCTAGCACCAGGCAGAATTTAGCAGAGCCTTAAAATGTGTACACAAAATAACTGCAGTACAGAGTAAATAGTGATAAAATAGTCAGAGAGGAACAGATAAGTGTAATTGAAGATTAGCAAAAGACAGAGATGACTCTAGGTAAGGCAATCAAAGAAGACTAAATGTAAGAGGCAGCTTTTGAACTAGCAAGAACTGGTTTGGAAATTTAAAAGTGAGGCAGAATGAAAGTCTGTGGAAAGGAAGCTCAATGGAGAATAATGCTCAAAGATAGGGAGAAATGGACCATAAATAGAAAATAGTCTATAAATAATTCAGTTTGGCTCAAGCACAGGGTATTAGGAAAAGTACTATGCAGAAGATTTTGTTGGAAAGCAGGAAGAGTTAGGGTTACAATATAACATGGACTTGAGTAGCAGCTTAAGAACTTGGGATTTAATTTTAACAGCAAATAGGGGAATCATTGAAGGATTCTGATTAGAGGAGTGATATTAACATCCAGTTCTGCCTAATGGAGATCATTCTTCCAGGCACGTATTAGATGGATTGCCACTAAATTCTGTCTTGAAATCATTTTGGCTCCCTAGTCTGTCATCCCAGTAATTGTTATCCTCCTAGCTTTGTGTCATCTATAAACTTGATCAGCATGCCACCTAGGTCCTCATCCAAGTCATTAATTAAATTAATTAATAATTCTGCATTAATCCTTGTCAGTGGAGAGCAACTAGATATTTCATTTCAGATTCAGGGCACAGTACTTTCAGCCCTAATACTATTCCTAAAGCAACACTTAGAAGACATTCTAATTAGGGTGATTGAGGACCTTAATTGATATTCTCATGAGTAACTGGATTATGCCAGAGGCAGCAAGGAGTCAGGTCACCAAGGTAAAGCTAATCAAAAGATAACTTGTGTGCAAAGACAAGTCCAGGGTCAGTCTGGCCCTGTGATGAATTAGAATAAAGCAGACTGAAAAGAAAATGTGATTGTGTCGGCTGTTTTTGACAGACTAAAGGTACCGAGGTTAGTGGGAGGAGGTTGGCTGGTCTGCGACCTCTCTAAGAAGGCAGGTTCATTTAACATCATCTTGCATTCTGCCTAAGAATTTTATTATTGTGACTAGTAATACACTTTTTAAAAAATAGGGAGTATTTATTGATTTTGAGAGAGAGAGAGAGAGATTTGTTCTTTCACTTATTTATGCATTCATTGGTTGCTTCTTGTATACGCCCTGACCAGAGATTGAACCTGCAGCCTTGGCATATCAGGCCAATGCTCTAACCCAGAGTAATACACTTTGGTTCTTGTTTCTTGGGGGGAGGGAGTACTGGGTATTTGCAGAGATGGAGAAACTGTCTGAAGGAAAATAAACCTGCCTAATGACACATGGTTTCTCATGGTCTGAATTACAGTCTAGCTTTAGATTACTGTGGTAGACTTTAACAGACTCTACCCTTGCTTCAGATGATTGAAATTTTATATAATAAATTTCCAGTTAGCCTCTCTTGCATTATCCATTTTATTTACTTTATGATCACATTTATACTTCCTTTCTGAGGTCTTGGTACTTCTCTCATAGTCAATGCCATTGTTTCCTGGTATATCAACTTGGATGCCTATATCACCTAGTGAGAAGTTTTTTTTTGTTTTGTTTCTTTAATATATTTTATTGATTTTTTACAGAGAGGAAGGGAGAGAGATAGAGAGTGAGAAACATCGATGAGAGAGAAACATCCATCAGCTGCCTCTTGCACATCTCCCACTGGGGATGTGCCCGCAACCCAGGCACATGCCCTTGACAGGAATCGAACCTGGGACCCTTCAGTCTGCAGGCCGACGCTCTATCCACCGAGCCAAACCAGTTTCAGCGAGAAGTTTCAAATATGTACTTAGGTCTACGCTATCAACAACAATGTTAATAATGACAGCTAACATGCACTCAGAACTTTAACATCAACTCCTGCATATGAAGCTTTCTATTTTCTGCATTCTCTAGGCTCAATAAGCACTAGGGTCTCATTTCTGAGTTAGCCCTGGATTCTCTCACTGAGCAGCCAGTAACAGGCTAAAACTAGTTTTGCTTCCCCAAGGATGGTAATTTTTCTAACTGACCACTTGCTCAGCCTTTGTTCTGCACATCAGCATTTCAATAGTCCACAGGACTGATTTCTCCCTCAGTTTCCTGATTCCACTTATAGCTCTATATTCAGATCATGGCTACTCTTTGAAGCCCATGAGCCTGGTCGGGGCTTGGACCTTCAACCTGGTGTTTTTCAGCACTTTTCCAGGAGCCTGCACCCTGTGCCTTGTAAAGTCTTCTCTGAACTGGATAAGCCTCTTGTAACCATGAAGCTGCTATCACCTGCTTCATTCCTGGCCAACAGATGCCCTTTGCTATCACCTGCCTATTGAAAATGTGGCCACTAACACCAAGGCACAAACCTGGCAGGTCATCCCTGTGTGAGGTTAGCCCTGCAGCCATATCGCTTGCTTGAGTCCTGATCCCACCCAGGTCCTTTTTCCCTTCTCTAACTTACTGAGCAGGTCTTGTACAGCTATAACAAATAAGTCTTTGAAGGACATAGGCCAGATTATTAATTATCCCATTTTATAGAAAAGGAGACAGCATTTACTTAAAAATCAGAGGTATTTTCATCATCAATTTTTTATCTGTTTTCTAGTTTTTTGACCCATAGAAGGGTCCTTGTGAAGAATATTCCAGAATCTAGGATTTATTAATGAAAAACTTTCAGCAAAGTGACATGAAAGGCTCTGATTCTGGGCCAAACAAAGCAAGCAAACTCCACCCTGTCATTATCAATGAACTGCAGTTGTAAATTTAGGAATAATACGTGGAACAACTATTAGAGGACTCTAAAAGTTAAAGAATGGCACATTATTTTCAAGTACATAAGAGTCTCCCCATGCACCAGAAAACACACCTTAACACATTTAAAAGAATTAAAGTCAATCTTCTCTCTACATAATTAAACAAGAAATCAATAAAAGAAAAATAACAGGATAATCTCCAAACACTTCAAACTTAAGAAATATAACTAAATAATCCATGGATCAAACAGGGAAATTAGAAAATATTTTGAACTGAACAAAAGTGAAAGAAACAGTATATCAAAATAAGTGGGATGCAGTTGTAGAAGTGTGTACAGGATAATCCAAGAAACTACAGGCCTACATTAAAAAAGAATGACTTCAAGCCTGTAATCTAATCTCCCATCTCAAGAACTTGGAAAGAGAAGAGAACAATAAACCAACCAATCAAAAATGAAGGGGAAAAAAAGAGTAGATACCCCAAATTTTAAGACAGAAAAAATAATAAAACCAGAAGTTGGTACTTTGAAAAGAACAATACAATTGCTATACCTCTAGCTAGGTGAACCAAGAACAAAAATAAAGCACATATCCCTAATATCAGGAATGAAAGATGATACATCACTACTGGTTACATTGGCATTAAAATGGTAATAAGGCAATGTTCAAATCCTTAGGCACATAAATACCACAATTTAGATGAAATGGACAGACATCTTAAAAACCACAAACTACCCAAGCTCATTCAAAATAAAATAGATCCTTTCATTGATCCTATTATTAAAAGAAATTGAATTTGCAGTTAGTAACCTTCCAAAAAATAAATTCCCAAGCTTCAGATGATTTCACTGGTGAATTCAATCAAACATTTAAAAAATAAATAACATCAATTCTACATAATCTCTTCCAGAAAATAGATGACAAGACAGTTACCAATTCACTTTATGAGATATTACTCTGATTCTAAAACCTGCCACAGACAGCACACAAAAAAAGAAATCTATAGATATCCCATAACCAAGCAGAGTTTATTCCAGAATGCAAGGCTAGTTTCAGTATTTGAAAAATCTAAGAAAGAAAGATCTCATGATCATATCAATTGAGGCAGGAAGAGCATTTGACAAAACTCCACATCATTCGTAATAGAAAGAAAACCTCTCAGCAATCTAAAATTAGAAGGGAACTTCCTGAAACCAATAAAGAGCATCTGCAAAGAACCTACAGTGAACATTGCATCCTATGTTGAAAGACTGAATGCTTTCCCACTAAGATCAGGAGCAAGGCAAGGATGTTCATTCTTTGTACTTCATTCCCGAAGTCTTAATCAGTGCAATAAGACTATTCACAGATGACATAATTTTCAACATAAAAAAAAAAATCTTAATGAACCTATTAAAAATAGAAATAAGTAAAGTCCCAGAATATGTAGTCAACACACAAAAGTTAAACATATTAATATATACTGGCAATGGAAAACAGAAACCACTTTTAATAAGGGTGGTTATAATAATTAAAACAAAAATGAAATATTTAGCTTAAAGTCTAACCAAACCTGTACAAGATCTGTATGCTGATATTTATAAAACATTGATAAAAAGAAATCAAAGAAGAACTAAATAAATGGAATTATGTGGTTGGCAGAATGGCCCCATGCCTTAGATCCCTGGAATCTATATGCTATCTTACTTAACCAAAGGGATGTTATAAATATAATTAAAGTTATGAATATTAAAGTAGGAAGGTTATTCTGGATTATTCAAGTGAGCCCAGTCTATCACATGAGCCCTTAAATGCAAATAACTTTCTCTGGTTAAAGTCAGAGAGATGCAGCAGAAGGACAAAGCAGAGAAAAGCAAAGCAAGAAAAGAACTCAAAAGCCTGTGAGATTTAAAGACAGATGTAGCAACATGTCAAGGAATACAGGTGGCCTTACAGAGCTGACAGTCAGTAGGAAACTTCAGTTCCACAACCACAGAAAATAGAATTCTGCCAACAACGCTGGAAATGCATTCTTCCCCAGAGAGTCCAGAAAGGAGCCCAGCCTTGCTGACACTTTGACTTTAGCCTTGTAAAACCCTAAACAAAGACCAGATAAACCACACTGTACCTGGATTTCTGACCAACAGAAATTGTGATATAAAAAGAGTTGTTTTAAGACACTAAGTTCTGTTAATTTGGTTATAATAGTAACAAACAATAATACAATAAACATAGCATATTCATGAACTAAAAGTCTCCACATAGAAAAGCTGTCAATTTCCCCCCAAAATTAATTGACAGATTTAATGAAATTCCAACAAAATATCCTAACAAGATTTTGCTTACAGATAAAGTCAAGCAGATTATGAAATTTATATGGAAAGAGAAATGCCTTAAATATGAAAAACCATTTGAAAAAGAAGAATGAAGTTGTAGGAATCACACTAAACACAACCCAATTTTAAAATGTCAAAAATCTTAAAGAGATACTTTACCTAATAGGATACAGCTGATCCCCCTTATCTGTGATTTCACATCCCATGGTATCAGTTACTGACAATCAACCATGGTCCAAAAATATTAAATGGAAAATTCCAGAAATAAACAATTCATAATTTCAAATAGTGCACCATTCCGAGTAACTTAAGGAAATCTCTCACTGTCCCACTCCATCCTGCCCACGATGTGAATCCTCCCCTTGCCCTGTGTATCCTGCCTGTTGGTCAGTTAGGGGCCCCAGTGCTTGTTTTCAAGTAACCCATATTTTACTTAGTAATAGGCCCATGCACAGGAGTAGTGATGCTATACTAGTAAAGTAATGAAGCCGTAAAGTGCTTCCTTTAAGTGCAAATGTGTGTATCCTACAGAGAAAAGAAAACATATTATATTTAGGTTTGGGTACTATCCATGATTTCAGGCATGCACTGGGCTTCTTGGAACATACCCCCCTTGAGTACAGGGAGACTTACTCTACTCAGAAGGAAAACTGACACATGAAAAGATATTCAAGTCATTAGCCATAAGGAAAATGCAAATGAAACCCTCAAAAATAGACACGACTACACAAAATACCAGTGCTAAAGAGAATACAGAGCAACTGGAACTCCCTACTGCTGAAACTACCAAATGGTACAGCCCCTCTGGAAAATAATTTGGCAGTTTCTTATAAAGTTATAAATATTCTTCCCATAGGGTCTAGCAATCCCGCTCCTCGGGATTTATCCAAGAGAAGTGGAAACTTGTGATCACACAAAAACCTATATACAAATGTTCACAGCAGTTCTATTATTAATTTACCAAGCCTGGAAACAATTCAAACATCCTTCAACGGGCAAATGGATAAACAAACTCTGGTGCATCTAAAAAAAATAGACTACTTTTCAGCAATACAAAGTGATGAGCTGTTGATAACAACAACTTGGATGAATCACAAAAGCATTATGCTAAGTGAAAAAAGCCTGTCTAGATAGGTTACTATCTGTCTAATTCCATTTAAATTGCATTCCCAAAAGGACAAAACTAGAGTGATAGAAAACAGATCAGGGACTAGAGGTAATATGAGGGTGTGACTGTACAGGGATAGATAGCACAAAGGAGTTATTTGGGGGATAGACCAGTTCCATATCCTGATTGGGGCAGTGATTAAATGAGTTGATACATGAGTTATTGTTCATAGAGCTGTAATTCAAAAAAGTCTATTTTATTGTATATTGATTAAAGTATATTTTAAGTGACATGATCTTTCTTTTAAAAAATATCCACAAATGATTTGTGAACCCCTCTAGATAGTTTAAATAAAGCTGTTTTAACTTAAATATGGTTTCTATTTTCAACGTTTACTTTAAAAATAACAAGAGTCCTGTCATTAAGTACTGAATGTTCCAGAAAAGTCTAGCAGTTCAGGAACATAGGGAGATCAATGAATTATCCCAACTTTCAGCATATCAAGCCAAAGTTGTTAACCTTGATACAACCAGCAGAGTCCAAGTTTACACCAGAAAACATTAGCTATTGCCTCTCTCTTTCTTTCTAAATACCTTCAAAGTCTTTGAAAATCTGAGGAGACATATATAACATAACATACCACCTGCAGTCTTTCAAAGTTTGGAATAGGATATGAGCAGATTGATTCCCTTTTGTTCTTTAATATTCTGAATAGCACCATGTCCTGTGGAATGAGGGAAGAAATATCACAAAGAGAAATAGAACTAGTTTTTCAGTGAGATGAAAGTGAAAGGGAACTGAACTTAAGTTCTAAGTTTAACTGTTTGATCTTGGACAGCCTCAGAGAAGAAGAAAAGAATATTCACAGCAACCACTTAGATAGATAAAGTGTATTTCCTGGTCACTGCATTGATGACTAATTTAAGATAGACAAGCTAGGCATTCATGTACCCTTTTCAATGAGGACAAGAAGAGTATTTCAGTGTACCCTTTTCCTAGTGAGTGGAAAATTTGATGATTAAGTTTTCTGTACTTTGAGATACTGAAGCAGGAGTTTTGCATGGGGGTGATAGGGACTAATACTTGCCTCATCAGTTGTTTTGGGAGGAGTGTACTTGATAATCCCCGTGGAGTGATTAGCACAGTCCATGAACATAGTATCTCTCAGTAAAGGCTGGGTATCATTAATTCTTAGTAAATGAAATAGTACACTTGAGAAACTGTGAAGCAGCAGACAAATGTGAGCTACCATTAATATTATTTACAAAGAAGAACACAAGTTAATTTTTTGAGTTGACTATTGACCATTGGGGAAAAAAACTTGCCATGTCCTACACTTTGTTTAGTATCCTAGGTCCAAATTTAATGCTCTGTTCCCCAAATATTTCAGAGAAGACAGGTATAGTTGGTATAGTTATAAGTCAGGCCTCTCTAACTTACAGGAAAGCCACAATTGTTATACTATGCTCTACACTGATTTTTTTTTACTTTTCAGTTAAGGATGTACAACATTGTGATTAGACATTCATATACCTTATGAAGTGCTCACCCCGATTAGTACCTATATAACATAATAAAACTTGAACATGAAGAAATCATGGTCAAGAAGGTTTCTCTTCTCTATTCTCAAATACTTCTCTTTTTTTTAATGGAAGTAAAAACTTCTGCCCTGACTATCTCCTAGGACTGTTGTCAAGGACCGAATGATGTGACATGTGAAAGAAGACTTTGTAATTATAAAGTGCTATAATTACACAATAATATAAGGGGTTCTGACATTATAAAATACCCTGGGATTTTTTGCTTTGTTTTGTTTAAATTTGAAAGAATCCAAAGTGGTGAAGACTTTAAAATCAAAAGGAAAATATGCTATAAATTGCTTACTTTATAACTTAATTTAATTGTTGGATTGCTTTTGGCAATATTGATAGGCAGTTGTAAGACTGAAGTTTCTAAAGTCTGGTCATGTTCTATTTCTTAGTGTGATGATGGTTGCATGATGATGCATTTGTAAAAGTTCATCTATCTGTATGCTTAGTATTTATATACTTTACCATTAATATGTCATGCTTGCATAAAAAGTCTGGAAAAACTTTTGCTTGATTGAAGTTAAAGGATGGTTTAAACCAACAGGGAAAGGTTAGTAAAAGGCACTGGACAACATTATGTACAGCCTTTTAAATAAAGAAAGCAGCTTAAAATCCAACACAGAATGTGGTAGGAAGTCATCTCGGGGAACTTTAAGGCTGGGGGAGGGGCTGGATATTTATGATTAATATATGTAACATTTCTTCTAATTCACACAACATATATTTCTCAAGCTCTGGGCAAAAAGGAGGGGAGAAAAATGTCCCTGTCCTCTTGGAACTGTTGGTCCCACGGCAAGGGAGCAGCATCGCAGAAGACCTCTCTGCTCTCCGGGAAACTGCGATGTCAGGGGAAGTTCAAGTAGATAGCTGGGTGGTATTATAACCCACCACTGACACAAACCAGTCACATCACCTTCTCAACCAAGATCTAGTCTCCTCCAGGTTAGGAAAGTCATCACGTTTCCCAGCATAGAGTAGCTTCTTAGCCTGAGGTTTTCTTCCTTTACATTTCATATAACAACATTGACAGTAATAACCTGATTCAAAGGAATGGTCTGAAGATCACGATCCTGTCTGTGAGGCTCTCCAAAGAAAGACACCATCTGCAGACTGTTAGAGAGGCCACAGGCAACAAAACTGTGGTCGAGCTTTCATAGATTTCTCCATAAAAACTGTGCACTCCAGCTCCTGCATTTACAGAATCAAATTTTGTTCAAATCAAGAAGTATTTATTGGGTCTTTCTTTCATACACTTTAACAGAAACTGCAGTTTAAAGAAATGAACACAACAGTTTTTATAATCCCAGATCACACAGTTTAGGAGCAAAATCGGACTTATAAATACAAAAGGAAAAAATAGAGAAAAGAACAAATCGATGATCAAGTACACTATAATCACACTGAAGTGTTTGATGGAAATGGCCATATCCCATAGTGTGCACTCTGCCAAAGGACCAAGTGGCCAAACTGAATTTGAAAAGTAACATGTCAGATAGCTCTGTCTTGAATACTCATAGAACACATTAGCCTTTAAAAGCTCTGGTAATCTACCAAGTAAATATCGTGGTTGACTTGTTTTAACACTGCATTAACCATGTTATTTGACCATGAACCCCTCTTTCATGCATTCAGCCTCTCAAGGTTTCATTGGGAATACTGATAGAGTGAAAGCTCTAATGAGAGAAGGGAGAACCCAGGCTCTAATTCCCAGATCAATTCTCAGTCTATAAGATGCAGATGCTTTCCAAAATCATTCAACTCTACTTGAGACGAAACTGGCAACCAGAGAAAGGAAATTAATGCTAACCTTCCCACAGCTGCCCTTCCCCTCTGCATCCTTTCCCAGTTCTCTTTATCTTGCCGCTGGCTGAAGTACAAAATGCCTTTTCTAAGAACTGGGCAGGTATCTGTTTCTCCTTTAGAGCCCTTGAAGAATTTCTGTGCTGATCTGTTTTATTTAGGTTTTTCTCTTTTCCCATCCTTTTCTGGACTAGGACTCCAAGTTTGTGTCCACAGTACACAGCCCAATGCTTTTGTACAATAAACACATAACTGTGGGGTAATAGGGGAAAAAACAACAACCACAACCTCCTAGGACACAGTCCACCTCTGTTTAGTTTGCTGTTGGTCACTCCTGAACTGTGTGCCCTGGAATAATTTACTTAACCCCTGTGGATCCTAGCATCCTTATCAGTGAAATAGTATAACAAATATTTGCTTCATGAGCTGCTTTAAAGATCAAATTAGATTTGATGGAAAAGCTTCATAAACAGTGAAGAATGATGCAGATATGAGGTTTTGATGCTTTATTTTTTAATATATTTTATTGATTTTTTTTTTTTACAGAGAGGAAGGGAGAGGGATAGATAGAGAGTTAGAAACATCGATGAGAGAGAAACATCGATCAGCTGCCTCCTGCACACCTCCTACTGGGATGTGCCTGCAACCAAGGTACATGCCTTTGACCGGAATCGAACCTGGGACCTTTCAGTCCACAGGCCAACGCTCTATCCACTGAGCCAAACCAGTCAGGGTGTTGATGTTTTATTTTATACAGATAATCACATGCACATGAGATTCCTGAGCTGGGTTAATGGTCGTCCACAGGATACAGTCTTCTCCAGGGATGGCTGTAAACAGATGTGACTTCTCATCAAGATCCACTGCCTAAAAAGTGAGCCTGCCTTAGACATTGGACTGGACTGGATCTAAGCCATTCTTGGTCTCACAACACAGTCGGCTATCCTTTTACAAGAGCATATCCCCATGTCATCTTCCTGCTTCTGTCAGGAGAAAAAAGATCGGCTTGCCAGGGATCATCTATCAGACCAGAGCATCACACATCACATGCCCACCTGCTCAGGGACCTGGAAGCATCAGCAGCTTCAGCTACTCAAACAGCCCTAAGGGCTCCTCCTTATCAATTACACAGACAAACAGAGCAGGGAGGGGGGTGAGTCTGGGTCCCAGTACTGACTTTTGTATTAACTGGCTGTGTGACTTCGCCTCTGCACTTAATTACCCCGGTACCTCTGTTTCCACAACTAGTTTGATTAAGAAGAGTTAAAGTCAGCCCTAGCTGGTTTGGCTCCATGGATAGAGCGTCGCCTGGGGACTGAAGGGTCCCAGGTTCAATTTCAGTCAAGGGCACAAGCCTGGATTACAGGCTCAATCCCCAGGAGGGGGTGTGCAGGAGACAGCCAATCAATGATTCTTTCATCATTGATGTTTCTCTCTTTCCCTTTGTCTCTGAAATAAATAAAAATATATTGTTTTAAAAAAAGAGTAAAAGGCAAATGTTACATTAGAACTTTCACGGAAGTCTCACCGCATACCAGACCGACACTGTGCCAACTGTGGGAAAACACGGGGACCTCAGGACAGCCTCTGCCTTCAGGCTTTCTGTCTGCTGGAGAGCAAGGCGCACCAGGTATCCTCCCATCCCCAACACCAATCGTCCCTGAAATGCAAAGACAATACTCCAAGTCTTCCTGGGAACACATAAGCCCAAAGTAGAGAGCTTTAAAGAAAATCCCATCTCTCTGTATCTAAAGTGTTAAAGAAAATCCCCTTCTGAACTAACACTGAGGAGTTCTGTGTGAGTCTGTGGCCCTGCTGAGAAAATTCTATGGCTTCTTTCACTGATTTTTGGACACCAGGATCATCCTGACAGATGGCAATGGGCACCCACCAGTCCTGTAGTCTGGGATGTGACCTCAGTCCACCAAATCGCTCTGGATGGAGGGGCAGGCTGGGGGCTCTGGTGCACAGATCTTTACATACGCATTTGACATTTGGTGACTTTATTGCAAATAAAGCAAGAGCATGCAATTGCCCTTTCAGCAGAATGAGAAATTCTGGGAATTTTATAGGGCTATTATGTATTGATCCATAAAGTACTGAAGATTCAAGTGACCCTAATTTCAACAAGTATGCCTTATCTTCACCATACAGCCACTTAGAAAAAACAGTACCCTCCCAGAGAGGTGCTCAAGCAGTGTGCAGTGGGAGCTTTGAAAATGCTTTGACAAGAAAATTAAGCAAGAGGGTGAAACATATACTAAAAATATAT